ATTCACACATGAAATGGATTTTTGAGGACCTAAAAGTGGAAAGTGCAGGGTCCATGTCTATGCTCACTGTCTTGTTTATAATCATAAGACTCACTTTCTCCTTTCTTCTTCTCCACTCAGCCCTGGTCTACACTATGAGTTTAGGTCAAATTTAGCAGCATTAGATTGATTTAACCCTGCACCCGTCCACACGACGAAGCCATTTTTGTCGACTTAAAGGGCTCTTAAAATCGATTTCTGTACTCCTCCCCGACGAGGGGATTAGCGCTGAAATCGACCCTGCTGGGTCGAATTTGGGGTAGTGTGGATGCAATTTGACGATACTGGCCTCTGGGAGCTATCCCAGAGTGCTCCATTGTGACCGCTCTGGACAACTCAGATGCACTGGCTAGGTAAACAGGAAAAGCCCCGCGAACTTTTGAATTTCATTTCCTGTTTGCCCAGCATGGCGAGCTGATCAGCACAGGTGACCATGCAGAACTCATCAGCACAGGTGACCATGGAGTCCCAGAATCGCAAAAGAGCTCCAGCATGGACCGAACGGGAGGTACTGCATCTGATCGCTATGGGGAGACGAATCCGTGCTATGCAAACTCCGTTCCAAAAGACGAAATGCCGGAATATTTGAAAAAATCTCCAAGGGCATGAAGGACAGAGGTTATGACAGGGACCCGCAACAGTGCCGCGTGAAACTTAAGGAGCTCAGGCAAGCCTACCAAAGAACCAGAGAGGCAAACGGCTGCTCCGAGCCCCAGACATGCCGCTCGTATGATGAGCTGCATGCCATTCTAGGGGGTGCCCCTACAACTACCCCACCCCTGTGCTTCCGTCCTCCCCCACCCCTCCCGGGCTACCTTGGCAGTTATCCCCCCATTTGTGTGACGAATAAAGAATGCATGAATTTGAAACAACAATGATGACTATTGCCTCTGCAAGCGGAGATCAAAGGGGGGAGGGGAGGGCGGTTGGCTTACAGTGAAGTAGAGTGAACCCAGGGGGCGGGTTTTTATCAAGGAGAAACAAACAGAACTTTCATACCATAGCCTGGCCAGTCATGAAACTGTTTTTCAAAGCTTCTCTGATGCACAGCGCGCCCTGCTGTGCTCTTCTAACTGCCCTGGTGTCTGGCTGCATGTAATCAGCAGCCAGGTGATTTGCCTCAACCTCCCACCCCGCCATAAAAATCTCCCCCTTACTCTCACAGATATTGTGGAGCACACAGCAAGCAGTAATAACAATGGGAATATTGGTTTTGCTGAGGTCTAACCGAGTCAGTAAACTGCGCCAGCGAGCTTTTAAATGTCCAAAGGCACATTCTACCACCATTATGCACTTGCTCAGCCTATAGTTAAACTGCTCCTTACTACTGTCCAGGCTTCATGAGCCATGGGAGCAAGGGGTAGGCTTGGGTAGGTGCAACCACGTGGTGCTGCCGACTGGGAGAGCAGCCTGAGGCAGAAGCCTCCAGCTGGCATGATATTCCAGGCAGGACTGAATCTCCATTAGATGAAACTTAAAGAAGAGAATGACCTAGACTCGTTCCCATTTTTGTCCAGGCGCCCCCGACCAACCTCACCGAGGCAAGGCAAGGCAAGGGGATGCTGCTGTGTAGCACTGCAGTACCGCGTCTGCCAGCAGCACTCAGGAGACATACGGTGACAGTGAGCTGAGCGGGCTCCATGCTTGCTGTGGTATGTCATCTGCATGGGTAACCCAGGAAAAAAGGCAAGAAACAATTTTTTGCCGTTGCTTTCACAGAGGGAGGGAGGGGGCCTGACGACATGTACCCAGAACCACCCGTGACAATGTTTTTGCCCCATCAGGCATTGGGAGCTCAACCCAGAATTCCAATGGGTGGTGGAGACTGCGGGAACTGTGGGATAGCTACCACAGTGCAACGCTAGCCTCGGTACTGTGGACACACACCGCCGACTTAATGTGCTTAGTGGGGACACACACAATCAACTGTATCAAATCGATTTCTAAAAAATTCTATTAAATCGACCTAATTTCGTAGTGTAGACATACCCTCAGTGAAAAGCATTCTGATTTAAATTTTAGAAAACCAAGTTAATTAGAGTGGGTTTTAACATCAAGAATGAATGAGACAAAATCATCAGTGTTGTAATCCACTGAAGCACCAGGAATTACACCAGGATCAATTTGAACTATTATTGTTTCTTCCAAAGCCATTCAAAATCGTTGACTGACATCCATCCATCCTTGTGTTAGAAATATGCTAGTTTTGACTGTCACCAACTCTCAGATAACACACAGGCTTCAACGTCAGACTTTTTTCCTTGGGGCACTAGTAGCTGGTGGCAATTCTTTCCTACCCTGACAATCTGCTGCCTACAGATTAAGGAAAGGGGGATTATATCCGTATCCACAGTTCAAGGGCTGTGCTCAGGTTTCACTCTAAAAATATGGCCTAGTTTAGAGATGATGAAAATGGCTGCAAGCTGCATGGAAACTTCTTAAAGACACCATAATAGAGGCTCAACTTAAATGTATACCACAAATTAAAAAACATAGTAAGAGAACCAAAAAAGTGGCATCGTGGCTAAACAACAAAGTAAAAGAAGCAGTGAGAGACAAAAAAGGCATCCTTTAAAAAGTGGAAATTAAATCCGAGTGAGGAAATTAGAAAGGAGCATAAACCCTGGCAAATGAAGTGTAAAAATATAATTAGGAAGGCCAAAAAAGAATTTGAAGAACAGCTAGCCAAAGACTCAAAAAGTAATATCAAAATTTTTTTTAAGTACATCAGAAGCAGGAAGCCTGCAAAACAACCAGTGGGGCCACTGGATGATCGAAATGCTAAAGGAGCACTCAGGGATGATAAGGCCATTGCAGAGAAACTAAATGAATTCTTTGCATCGGTCCCCATGGCTGAGGATGTGAGGGAGATTCCCAAACCTGAGCCATTCTTTTTAGATGACAAATCTGAGGAACTGTCCGAGATTGAGGTGTCATTAGAGGAGGTATTGGAACAAATTGATAAACTAAACAGTAATAAGTCACCAGGACCAGATGGTATTCACCCAAGAGTTCTGAAGAACTATCATGTAAATCAACTTCTGTACCAAATGACTGGAGGATAGCTAATGTGATGTCAATTTTTTAAAAGGGCTCCATGAGTGATCCCAGCAATTACAGGCTGGTAAGCCTGACTTCAGTACTGGGCAAACTGATTGAAACTGTAGGAAAGAATGAAATTGTCAGACACATAAGATCAACATAATTTGTTGGGGAAGAGTCAACATGTTTTTTTGTAAAGGGAAATCATGCCTCACCAATCTACTAGAATTCTTTGAGGGGGTCAACAAGCATGTGGACAAGGGGGATCCAGTGGATATAGTGTACTTAGATTTTCAGAAAGCCTTTGACAAGGTCCCTCACCAAAGGCTCTTAAGCAAAGTAAGCTGTCATGGGATAAGAGGGAAGGTTCTCTAATGGATTGGTAAAAGATAGGAAACAAAGGGTAGGAATAAATGGTCAGTTTTCAGAATGGAGAGAGGTAAATAGTGGTGTCCCCCAGGGGTCTGTTCTAGGATCAGTCCTATTCAACATATTCATAAATGATCTGGAAAAAGGGATACACCATGAGGTGGCAAAATTTTGTGGATGATACAAAACTACTCAAGATAGTTAAGTCCCAAGCAAACTGCAAAGAGCTACAAAAGGATCTCACAAAACTGGGTGACTGGGCAACAAAATGGCAGATGAAATTCAACATTGATAAATGCAAAGTAATTCACATTGGAAAACATAATCCCAACTATACATATAAAATGATGTAGTCTAAATTAGCTGTTACCACTCAAGAAGGAGATCTTGGAGTCATTGTGGATAGTTCTCTGAGAACATCCACTCAATGTGCAGCGGCAGTGAAAAAAAAAAGCGCACAGAATGTAAGGAATCATTAACAAAGGGATAGCTAAGAAGACAGAAAATATCATGTTGCCTCTATATAAATCCATGGTTCGCCCACATCTTGAATACTGCTTGCAGATGTGGTCACCCCATCTCAAAAAAGATATATTGGAATTGGAAAAGGTTCAGAAAAGGACAACAAAAATTATTAGGGGTATGGAATGGCTGCCATATGAGGAGAGATTAATAAGACTGGGACTTTTCAGCTTGGAAAAGAGATGACTGAGGAGGGACATGATAGAGGTCTATAAAATCATGACTGGTGTAGAGAAAGTAAATAAGGAAGTGTTATTTACTCCTTCCCATAAAAAGGAAGTATTTTTTCACACAACACGCAGTCAACCTGTGGAACTCTTTGCCAGAGGATGTTGTGTAGGCCAAGACTATAACAGTTAAAAAAAGAACTAAAGTTCATGGAGGATAGGTCCATTAATGGCTATTAGCCAGGACCGGCAGGGATGGTGCCCTAGCCTCTGTTTGCCAGAAGCTGGGAATGGGCGACAGGGGTCACTCGATGATTACCTGTTCTGTTCATTCCCTCTGTGGCACCTGCATTGGCCATTGTTGGATGACAGGATACTGGGCTAGATGGACCTTTGGTCTGACCCACTATAGCCGTTCTTATGTTCTTAACTGCATTAAACCCTTGTGTGAACACACTCATTCAAGATAGGTCAGTCTCTAACCTGGTTCAAGCTATGGTCTCTCTTGTAAGGCTGAGAATACAGATGGCAATTAAAAGTTAGTTTTGCTAGAAATTTTTCTTATGTTGACACCTGTCCCCTAGGATCTGGACAAAAGCCACTAAAATAGCCACTAAATGGTTGATCACTGTCAACCTGGGCTGGATTTAAACCTGCCTTTTAGCATCCCCAACCCACCCCCATTAATAGTAAGGCTTTTTTCCTCCTGGTTTCCAGTGAAAATGAATTAAAAACTGACTGACCATTTTAAACAGCAGAGCTAAACTATTTGGCAGGGTTTCCCTGAAGTTATTTTTCTGAGAGACATCTAGCAAACCAAACATCAAGTTTCATCCAAATTTAATTTTGTCAAACTGCTTTATTGTCCCATGTTAGGTTTTAAACGCTGAGGATTGGATGCTTTTCAGTTACATGACCCACAGATTGCTTCAGACAGGTTGAATAAATGAATCAAAACATAGGCACTGTGTAAATGGAGTTGTGGAGGGTAGTGTAAGTGATTTTTAATATTATCCATTTATATCGACAGCCTGAAAGACCTCATAACCCTTATATGCAGCCAGAACCACAGAAATGCAGCCACCTTGGGAACTGAAGGTAAGCTACCATATTGCACACCCTGGGGCAGAGAGGGAATGTTGGCCAAGTCACTGAGGAAAATCCCCACTCTTAGAATATTTTCTTCTTTTTATATCCGGCGTATGGTTTCTGAAAAGTGTTTCAGTTCCCTTTTTGTCTGGTCATTTTACTTTCTTCCTTCATCCCTGGAATTTAAAATAACTGTAAGTTTCACATTAAAGTTTTAACTGGGAACATCAGAAGACAAAAATTGTGTGTCGTTTAGTCCTGTAGAAGTTGAAGGAGAAATGCCGAGCGTTCCATCCCTTCTGCTCAGAACAGTAATTAATAGCATTCTGGGAAAACACTTTCCGCCTCTGTCATCAGACATCAGCTGGTGGGTGAGAGCATGGTATAAAATAGCTTTCCCAATTAAAGAGGGCACGATGAATAACAGCTGATGAGAGGAAAGTGATGGCATGTTACAAATGGAGCAGATAGCTCATCACAGGAGGGATGGTGATTCTCTACTGGCTCTTTTTCCTCTTAAAAGCACCTGGGTAGTGATATTGCATAAGTCTGGGATTTTCAGAAGGAAAATTTCAAAAAGGGATTTTGATGCCTAACTCCCCCCCCCCCCGATCCCCTTTGTAAATCTCAGCCTAAGGGTTTTCAAAACTTCTGCATAGAAATGGATTTTTTTAGTACTTCATTTGATTATTAAAAATGGCATAAAAAGCATCTGGACCTACATTGTCAACTGTTCACTGATTATGGATGTGCAGCATGGGACACCTAGAACTGGAGTTTTCAGAGGAGAACACCTAATACCATTGAAGTAAGTTGGGATTGTGGGTGCTCACCATCTTTTATAATCACACCCACAATCAAAGACTATGGGTAGGGAGATAAAGCCTGATGATGCACAGTATATCAATCTCTATGAGGGGACGGCTGTGAGTTTCTTGTACCTTTCTCTGAAGCATGTGGTGCTGACCACTGTCAGAGACATGATACTGGACTAGATGTACCATGGGTCTGATCCAGTACTGCAATTCCTATGCCCTAAATCATTGTCCACACTAGGAAAATTAGGTCATAGGCGTAGCCATAGTGGATCAGACCCAATGCAAAAGCTGCCTCAGTGATGGAAGCTCTAGTGCAGACAGAGTTCAGGCATTCTTACCATGTTGTTTAATCCTGCTCAGAACACCATTAAGACACATGGTGTTAAACCCCTGAGCTCTGTCTGCATTATGACTTCCACCTGCTACCACTAACAAAACTGCACCAGTGGCAGGTTCTAGTTTCTCTAGTGCAGATGCAGCTTGGGAGCTTGATTTTCAGAAGTGCTCAGAACCCAAAAACTGAGGTCCCAAAATTAGTGGATCTTTTGCCAGTCTCAGAGAACCAACACTGGTTCCTTAACCAACAGTCCCATAACACCAACAGCTCTCACTAACTCCCAGGGGACTTCTGTATGCAAAAGGCTGGTTATATTGCAACCCGAGTAAATACTATGCACAAAGTGGAAGTCTAGTACACTGACTGCCATTTTTTAAGAGTTAGGCTATGTGTTCAAGCCTGCTGGTGCCTTGTCCCTATGCTACGTCCTTCAGAGTCCCTGCTGCAGCCTGCACGGTGAAGGCTGCAATGGAGATCTGCCTCTTTACTTCTTCCCAGGCTTTGCGCTGATCCGCTTTGTTTTCTATATCGAACACGGCATCGTAGATCCCTGGGAATGACTCTCCAGCGTACTTGTTGTGGCTGCTCGGAGCAAAAACAATGTGTCTGTGGGGAAAGAGAAAAAAGCCTTAGGCGGGAAGGAGGGATATTAGGGAGAACAAGGGGAGCTACTGAGACACAGCTGGGGGGAATCACTGAGAGAAAGAGCAAAAATTGTGCTAGAACTAGAGCTGTTTTTTTTTAAAGTAAATTTTCAGTGAATTTAACATCATTTGAAGTTTCAGTGGATTTTGATTTCATTTTTTGGCCAAAATGAAAAATTACTGGCTCCCCCCTTTCATGGGAAAATGAAAAATGTTTGCCCCCAAGTTGAATTTCTCTGCTTAGCTGAAATAGCAGTACACTCTGAATGATGCAAAAACCTGAGCTGTCCAAAAAGTCACACTATGTGGGGGAAAAAAACGTGAGCAGCTCCAGCTGAAACCCTTGCAAGCACGGGGAAGGATTTAGTAGTGGGAGGGTGAGCGGTTGCTTCCTGGAAGGCTGTTGGCATTTAAGGATGCCTGAACACTATTTAGCTTAGAAAGAGATAAAGATTGGCTTTGGATTTTAAGAACATAACATAAGAACGGCCATACTGGGTCAGACCAAAGGTCCATCTAGCCCATATCCTGTCTACTGACAGTAGCCAATGCCAGGTGCCCCAGAGGGAGTGAACCTAACAGGTAATGATCACATTTTTTGTGTGCCCTGGGATTGGAGGACTTCTGATTTGGCCAGAGGGCCACACCACTGGCATCCCTTCTCTCAGATAACTGGGTACTTCCATGAAACTGAGGCATTGGGGCAAAATGAGGTATAGCCATACACTTGACACCAAAGTGAGAAACTGTTCTATCACCATAGCTTTATGACTATACATCTTACAATGTACTCTCCTTGTAAGATAGAATAGCATTACGGCATTCAAATGAAAATCCTCCTAGGATATAAGCAAACCTTACTAGCTGACAAGAAGGATGGTCCAATGGTTAGCACAGGAGTTGGGAAGACCTGGGTTCAATCCCTGCTTCACCCTGTGACCTTTGACAAGTCATTTAGCTTCTCTGTGTCTCAGTTTCACAGCTGTAAAAACTGGGCAATAACAGCCCTTCCCTACCTCACAGGGATGTGTGAGGATAAATGTGTTAAAGATTGTGAAATGCTTTGAAATCTAAGAGCAAAATTCAGAGACATTTAATATTACTAAAAATACAGTCCTACGCCCAACAGGAGAAGCTCAATAGCCCAAATGTGTTGTTGAGCTACATAAAGGATGTAGATCACAACCTCATGTCTTTCGGCACCCTCTCCTTCTCCCAAATCTGCTCCACCATCAGGAGGGATGGAATCAGCAGAGGGATGTCCTCACACTGCTGTAACCAGCACAGTTATTTTCATCTTATTTCTTGTTCCTTGTAACCAAGCACTCTCGATGCCACGGCGAAGGTGCAGGAGGTGTTTACAAGAGAATTTCTATTTTAGGACGCTGTTCATAATATGAAAAAGTTGAAGAGTCATAGCACAATCAGTGCTTTTTAGTAGTCTGCATAACTTGTTGCCTTACCTGTAAAATTTCCTGCCTGGTAAACCAAGAGGATCGATGAAAGCTCTTTCCACAAACATCAGCTGATCATTCATGATTCGCACAGCAATTGGACTGCGGGGGATGAAGACAGAAGCATTTCACACAACAATGCATGAAAATGTATGAACTACATGGTTTTCTAGAGCTGGTTGAGAATTTTTCAACATTATTTTTTAGTCAGAAAAGCTGATTAGGTGAAACCAAAACTGCTCCTGGGAACATACTGGCTTTGATGAAACTTTTACAAAGAAAGGTTTCTCAGGCGAAGTTTTGGTCAAAACCAGAGAGAGAGGAAGACACCTTCAAACCCCAGAATAGGCAATGGCCTTGTGGTTAGGGCACTCACCTAGGATGTGGGAGACCTGGATTCAAGTTCCTGCTCCAAATTAGGAAAGCAGGGACCTGAACCCAGTTCTCTCATCTCCCAGGTGAGTGCCCTAACTACCACACTATAGGCTTTTCACTGAAAAACTTCAAAAGTCTCAGTTTCATTCTGAGGCAGAACAATAAAAATTTCCAAACTCTCAAAAATATTTCTGGGATAGGAAAACCATTGCCAGTCCTGTTCTAGTTTACAAAGCACAAAACAAATATTAGCTAGTTACTCCTTCCTATGCACCTGATTAGGCTGACAAGTATCATGATATAAATGAGGAAAATGAAACACAGGCGTTACATGCGTTGCCCAGTGCTACAGAAGAAGATGGGCTCTAAACTGTGATTAGAATCACATGGTCTTTCAAACTAGGACTGTTGATTCCAGAAGATGCTGTTTCAGACAGATTTCACACAAACTTGAAGGAAAAAACTGCATGTTAGACTGGGGGAACTTCCCATTAATATAAGCAACAAAATGGGAGGCTGCCCTTTTAAGAGCAACGGAAACCTGTGTTTTATTAAAGTACTAGAAAGAACCCACCAAAGAAAGAAGATACTAACTTTTCACTAGCTGCTGCTTTACGTGAAAAATATGTTCATTACATTATATAAGATTTTCACTAAAATTATCACAAAGCTCATACTGTTCATTGGTGAGTGCGCCCAGGAAACAGAATGTGTTGAGATCCAAATCCTGTAGTCCTCACTCAGGCAAAACTCATATTGATTTCAAAGTCAGTTTTTGCTGACCAAGGCCTGATTCAGGATTGCAGGACTTGGCCCTCAGCAAACAAAGTTGAGGAGCCTGGAGGCGAATTTGTCAAGACTGGTTTTTTTAACTTACTTATTCACATCAACCTCTTTAAGTCTTCTGTGAAAATCAGCAGCAGCTTCTGTGAAATTCATCACAGCAGAAAAAAGGGGACCTATAAATAGAAAATCCTTTTTTACTTCAGCATCACACAAAGAGCCTTGAACAATAAACATTTCACTTACTGAGGAAAACCATGTATTTACTTTATTTACTGACTTGACAAGGAATCCTTGGCTTCCCCATTTCTTCTGGATCTGACTTTTAAAGGGCTGCAGTGCCCTCTCGTAACACAGAAAACCTATTTTAACCATGGCAGCAGTGCTGAGGAAGAATGTCTAATAAAACTTCTACAGAGAGGCATTAAAATAATATTTAATTTAAATATGCTGAGAACGATTCTTGGGGAACCTCTGGCAAAGCGAAAGTTCTGAGATTGGGGTGGATGGGGAGGAGGAAAACCCTGGATCTGCAATTTTAATTTTACTGCAGACTTTACATGAAGAAACTTGACATGTATCAACATTTCCAGCACTTGTGCCTGCCTGTGCAAGGATTGCACCATTTTCACCTTAGGAGATTTCCACCACAGACTTGGTGTAGCGAGATCCCGTTGGGGAGGAACCCTCCCGGCCAAGGCATAGGATGGTGGTAGAGCCATTCTACAGCTGCTACTCAACACCTGGATTGTCTCCCATTATGTGGGAGTGCAGGCCAGTTGGATCATTGTAGTTGCAGAACATCCCCCCCACCTCCCTCCCAAGCTCGTCCCCACTCTTTCCCTGGCAACATGCCCAAGCCCTCTTAACGGCTACTGGCAAAAGTCCCTGTGGGACTGAGCTCTGTGGCATACAGGGCAGCCACAGCCCTTGGGGAAGGCTCTCCCTACGCAGACACAGAGCTGTACTGGTTCCACTGCAGCCAGGGTGGACAGGACTTGGATAACCGCGTCTATTTCATTTCTACAGCTAATTCTCCTACCTCCCTCTCCCCCCCCCAAAAATTGGTTCTGGTTCATTGAGCAACAGGGGCAAACTTGCAAAAAGGGGAAATTTTAGAACCTTGCCAAACATACAAGTTCTGTAGGCAAAAGGGAAGCTTCAGACTATTTCAAATTTAACCACGAGTTTCAGAAAGCCCTGGCTAATCTAAAGTAGCTCCCTCCATATAAAGCCACCTCCCCTCTGATTGTTTATATCAACAGAGTTGAATCACCCCCCCAATGTCACGTTTCTGTGCTTGGCTGCCTCTGTACACTGAATGGGAGCTGTGTGTACGTGCAAGGACAGCGTTTAGCCATTGTTGACATTCTAGCCACTGTTTTGCAACAGCTCATGTTTCACAAGCAGAAGGAGAGGGCTGACTAGGGAAAAGGTCTCCTGAAAACTTACAAGTTTATTTATCACAAACAAGGCCAGTGTTGCTCACTCTACTTCTTTTTTAAAAATCGCAATACTTACAAAACATATACAATATATTTTGGAAATTTTATTCTTTAAAATAAATGTTTTAGATTAACTTTTGAAATAAAAATTCAAATAAGCAAACTGGCTCCATTTTTTTATTTTTCAGCTACCTGAAGCTATTTCCATATGCACTCATTCCCTAGCTAAAACCCAGTTCCTGCCCCTCATCTTTGGACACCTAGGGTCTCAAAGGCATAGGACCAGTAGTTACAGAGTAAAAGGCCACTGGGGCTTTTTGGCCTGTGAGGAGGATTCCTTCTTCTCTAATCCTGCAGAGAACTCCTGCTCAAGCTTGCGCTTTAATTTTTTTACCTAAGGTATTACCATAGTATCTGAGCATCTCACAATCCTTCATGTATTTATCCTCATCAGGTAGGGAAGTACTATTATCCCCATTTTACTGATGGACAGAGAGGCCAAGGCCCAGATATTTAAAGGTATTTAGGCACCTTGGCACAGATCCTCAGATGTCTAAATTCCATTAATTTCAATAGAAGTTAAGCACCAAAATACCTTTAAAAAGCTGATCCTACGTGATTTGTCCAAGGTCAAAAACAGCAGAGTCCAGAGTAGAGCAGGGATTTGAACCCATATGTTTCAAGTGCCAGGCTAGCAGGCTAACCTCTAGACCACCCTTTCTCTACTCAAGAGATTCTGCCCTAAGTAAAGAATGAGGTAATATACAGTGTGACCGTGTTATAAGAGACATTTTGACAGTAACTTTTTAAACCTTCATTATATTGAGAAACTTAGGAAGATCTTAAAATGAGTTGTTTTATTCTGCTACAAGGCATACTGAAACTCAAAGTCCAGCTTCATAGATACAAACAACCATATTTCTTCCCTTTGTGTACTTCTAATTGATGCACTCAGGACATACAAATGTTTAATGTCTGCATGGTCATTACTCACCAAATGACACTCTGTAAGTCTCTACCTGTTCTTCATGTTTCTTGGTCAAATTATAGATTCTATTTGTGTATTTTCTTAAGGCTTCTCCATAATCTTGGCAGTTGAAAGGAATGACCTGGGAGTCTGCCAGTTCATACACCAGTCCTCCTCGTAACTGGGCAACAGTAAGCTGTTTCATGAATGTGGGGTCATAAAATCGTTCTACTAACTCAAAAGTCTCATAGACGGTGTGGTAAACTGGGTAATTGCTGAACTTGTCTGCTCTCTGAAAAAGAATGAACAAAGTCTCAGATGTTGTAACTGAAGCCAGTTTGAGGGATGAAATTGGTCAGAAATGGCCAATAATAGATCACCACAACTTCCGTATCATGATAGCTCTTTTCCAGACACAGATGAATTACTGCCCTTACTGCTGTGAGGCTCCTATGAGGAAAAAAGCAATCCAAATTCATGGGGTACTATGGCAGAACAAAAGTGTGCAGCAATCCTTACTGTCTGTCTATGGTGGCCTCTTTCTGGCCCCATCCTGAGCTCCAATACCCACTGACTCATTGCCAACAAGCAAAACAATGTGGTTGTTGAGTAGCACAAGTGCAAAACAGTAGTCCCGTTGGATCTTGTGCAATTCAGCCACCACCTACATCTCTTCCCTCATTTCCTCCTCATCATCTTGCCCCAGGACTATAATCTTTCCATTCTCTATTCTTGTCTTCTTTCCTTGTACGCTCCACTCTTTCATCCAGCATTCTATCCTTAGAATTATCTTCCACTTCTTACGTGCTGAGCTGCCTTCCTCCTTGAAATGCATGCTTCCTCCCTCCTGAAAAAACAGCCTCCAATGCTGACCTCTTTCAAACATTGATCTCTTTATGGACAGTGTCTCTTCCCAACTGCTCTTGAACTAACGGAATATTTTAAAAACATAGGTTAGCTCCTCAGGGCAGAGAGCTAAGGCCTGATTGTCCACTCCATCCTGTGTAACCACTTACACTTGTGCTAAGTGGGTAGTAAAAAAAAGGTACAGCTCTGATTTGGAAGCACTTCATACCCATCTTACACATTTTAAAATGGCTATGGATACTGAATGGTAAAGAATCAGGCCCCGAGTCTTCTGTAAAGCATCATGCAAACATGGAGCTTGACAAATAATGATCCTAGAATCTTTAAAAGAACTTCATTAGGATTGTTAGATATATATCTTCTGCATCTCAGCTTGATTTTTTTTTCCTCGAAAAAGGTTCAGTTTTACCAAATGTCTACAGCCTGACCTAAACTTAAACATTTTTACTGACTTATCTATGTCTGTAAGGAGTGTGATTTTTTGCTGATGCAGTTATGCTACTACATACCAGTATCCATTTGGATCATTTTGCTTTACTGAATCAGAATAAGCTATACAGATATAAGCCCTTTTATGTCAGTGTAATTGTGCCTATATCTGGGGGAGAGAGCGAGAGAGAGTTGCAGCTTTCAGTATGGCCGTATGGTTAAAACGACAAAACTTTTAGACAAGGCCTCAGTCTTAAATTCCAGTTGGCCCTGACATTGTAGGACCTTGACCGTTAGTGCTAATGAAACACTTGTAAACTGGTTTAAACGTAAAACTGTAGTTTAAAGGAAAGATTGGACAAACCTTTCTCTTACTGTGGTGGGTTACAAGTGTGGTTTTTCACTTATGAGGCAATGTGTCACTAGAATGAAAGAAAATACATGCAAGGGGACAATGTGATGTGTGTGGGAATGACAGCGGCGACCAGGAGCTGACTCCATCTACACTTCTTCATCAAGGGCCCTCTTTGTGTAACTAGAGGTTTAGAATGCACACATCACCATCATGGGTGAATTGTCCTTCCAGTCTTTGTTTCTTCACAAATTCCAAAATTGCATTTCTGTGAGCACAGGACCAACACTTTGAAACAGTTTTTTTTTTTTAAATTGTTGAATATCCCATGGTAGAGTCACTGTTCTCAAAATAAAGCCAAACCTCGGTATCAGTTGTTTTCAGGAAATCTGGATGCCTTACCCTGTTCTTTGTATAACGGGCTCTGCCTGATGTAATTCCCAGACGCTGAAAATAAGCTTCAAAATCACTGCCTGATCCCAGTTTGTTTATTCTACATGCAGGAAAGAAAAGGTATCAAAATGAGGCTACAGTTAGATCTAGTATGAATGATTATGCAAGGTGTTGCTAGCCGAGTTTCCAAAGTATTGTGGACAAGGCTTCTGACAAGCAAGGTCATAACGGTGAGGTAAGGCTATTAAGATGAAGAATGCATTGGAAAAGGATACACATTGAGCCTGATGTGAGAGTGCTGTAGAATGGGACCTGGGGCATCTTGGTGATCTCAAACATTAATAATCTACTGTCGACTGAAATCAGTTGGGAGACTATATAAAGATGTGTTTATATGTGGCAGACCACTGTACAATCAAAGCCTTGCAAATAGTTTCCATTGCGGAAGAGGCTGTTGCTGGTGTTAATTTCAAGTGGATAATGCCATCTGCTGGGCAGAGGCGGCAACACAGAGGAAAGGAAACCGAGAACAACACACACAAGTGTATGGAGGAGGGGAAAAGCATGTCATTCTAGATCGGCTTTGTTTATTTGTACATATACATGCTTCTACGAAATTAAATCTAATAAAGGCCAGCTCCTCAAATGGTTGTAGCTCCACTCAAGTCAATAAAACTATGTGTATCAGCCGAGGATCTGCTCAGGGAGTCTGATCCTAGCGCTTACTTAGGTGAGAAACCTCATTGAATTCATGTGAGCAGGGGCTACAAGATTGGGGCAACGGACTTGGGACACTTGAATCAAGTAACATTAGGGGCTAAATTCCATTTACCTTACTGACATGATTAGTCCCATCTTGTGAGTAAGGATTTAGCCTTAGCAGGCAGGAGCATGTAAACAACTGTATAGTTTACATGGGGATGTTTTAATTTAGATAGCAACATTTACTGTAGATCACCTTGCATATTTAAAAGAATTTAAGTACACATTTGTATATATAGTAGGTCATGGCCTTTTATAGTCAACTGCATCAAAAAAGAATGAGAAGTACAAGAACAACTCTCCTTCTTTACTGTTGTAGTTTCTTTTAACGAATCATTTGTTTATCCTAACAAGAATGCAGCACTAGATTGTCTTCCAAAGTGTTATTAACAGGGCATTTAAACTTTTGGTTAGTAATTGGCACAGGTACCGCCAATGTGGCTTTGCAAAAACATTTCCTAAAGTCATCGATACTGCTAGCTACTCACCTGCTACCAGATAGTTTTGTATCATCACTATCAATGGCAACGATGCTTTTAAAGACAACACACAGTGATCCATTTGAAACACTGACGAGGGGGAAGGGGAAAAAAAACCCCATACAGTTTCATGAACTTGCCTGGGATGACTTTTACTTTCTGTTGAGGGGTCCTTTTCAAGCCAGCTTTCATAGAGAGACTTGCCTTCATAATCCTCATCAGGGCTTGCAATCTGGGGAGGCAAAGCACATGCTCGAAATGAAAGTGTCTCCGCTTCCAGTTGAACTTTATCAAGAGGAGATGCATATCGTTAATCTGCATTATTCTTGATCTCAAATGTTAACACATATGTGGCTTTACGCATGTTATTTATAATCTATGGGTCCCGATCCTGAGCCACGTACATCATGCACTTGGAACAACTCGAAGGAGCGGGGCTTCTTGACACTAGCCCCATGCTGGGGCTGGCCAGAGCACTGGTGTAAATTAGAGCAGTGCTGAGGGTTGCTCTGACTTATGCCCATTGGACTACGGCCCTTAGGGATGCTCTGAGTGGCAGCCTGGAATGCCCCAACCACACTCCTTTCCCCTTGGGAATGCTCCCTATGGTAGGAGCTGGGAGACGACAGCCCTAGCCCACTCAAGGTTCTCCCTAGCCAGGGGCGATATTCTCCACACACAGGTTGAGCCTACATTATGGCTGCTTTGTGCTACTGGACGAGTGAAAAGCAGATGCACTGGACGGCAGAATCTGGACCATAATAATAATTATTTATATAAGGGGAGTGCCTTGAAGTCCTGACTGTGATCAGGGCTCCATTGTGCATAGTAAGAGACAGTCCCTACCTCAAAGTATTTGGAATCTAAATAGACAAGACTGACAATGTCAGCATTATTATCCCCATTATACAGAGGGGGAACGGAGAGGTTTTATTCGATGACTTGCCCAAGGTCAAACAGGGTATCTGTGGCAGAGCTGCAAATTGAACCCAGGTCCCCAACCACCAGACTGTCCTTCAAGAGCGAGGACTGAAGATAATCTTGTCCTTTCAATACCGGTCTCAAACCGAGGTGATTTGACAAGCAGAGCTTGCAAAAGCAGCCCGAGCTCGTTTACCTGGAAAGCTGGAGATTTCACAAACACAAGCACTACAAAGCTGGGAGTGAACCGTTTCAGAATCCTGGAGGGGGTCACTTTCTGCATTGACTATCTACAGACATATATAGCTATAGAGATACACGCCAAACTGAAAATCTTTAGGGTTCCGACCTCTGAGATTATGCCTGCAGCTAGCAGAAAAACAAGCTTGTGAAATAACTGCCTGGCTGCTATCATTTCCCACGCACTTTGCTCAGGTTTGGGGGCTAAACTCAAAATGAGACCTCCGCAGGAGCAAACTGAACTCTACAGTGAAGGGCTCCGTGCTCCAGTACAGACTTTATCCTGACATTATTGGCCAAACCATTATCAGGTAATGTAAAAACCATTTTTTGTCTTTTCCACAGCACAGGAATAGCTGAATAGAACCTCATGTTTGCAGTGGCTTACATCCAATCCTAGGCTCTCACATAGCTTCAGGGTTGATCTTTTATAGTGCCGATGCAGAGTTTGGCAGGTATAGGCCCAGGCTAAAATGTGACGAACAGGACAAGAGAACCCAATCCTGTATTAATGCAAGGGTTGCCATGTGGCTATTAAATTATTCCTGCCTTGCAGTAGGTGTAGGGCCAAAGAGATAGGTGGGATCTCAATTCCATGCTGAGGATCATGCTTAAGCCCATCCCTCCTCAGAAATCTCTACCTCATGCACCACACTCCTCCTTATAACTTGTAAGGGAGACGGGGGTAAAGGGGCCTTAAGACTGATTTCAGCCCAGCGTAAAGGATTATGCCGAGTGCATAACCTTGCTTTTACCCATAGCCTCCACTCACATCTGCACTGACATGCAACAACCTACCACACCTGCTGTGTTGGGGGGGGGGGGGAAGGGGTAGAGAAGGAGGGAAGGAAATTCAACCCTACACAGAGGGCCAGCACCTGGCACAGGTTCCACTTCAACCCTTGTTTTGAAGGATTAAGTGGGGACTGCAGAGGTGCAAAGGTTCTGTGCTGTCCCCCTGCATAGGACAATCCAGGTACGGACTTGTTGCATCAGGGCCTTGTGGTACATTTTCTTGCTTTTCAATTATTTCCCCAAAGCAATGACATTTTAATTAGCACTTCAACACTAACGAACCTAGTCCCTCTGCATCCCAGTGGCCTATGCTTTTGTGGAAGGCTTCCATTGAGTCCAATTTTCCAATCACTACCGAAGTTGCTCCTTTACAGCTCAAAGGGAGCTACATGCACTATTATCAAAGGCACAGAAGATCCCTTAGTCTCTCATTGAAAATAAATGAGGTCACTATTTTAGATAAATTAAGATAAAAATAAAAGCTTGGTATTTAAAAAAAAGTATAAATTGAGCAGCTTTTTGCAATTCTTAATTTCTAAGGATAACTAGAGGTAGGTTGTCTGTGCTTGTTCTCTGAATTTCACAGAATCATAAAAATGTAGGGCTGGAAGGGACCTCGAGAAATCAGCAAATCCAACCCTCTGAGCCGATGCAGGGCCAAGTAAACCTAGCCCCTCCCTGACAGGTCCTTGTCCAACCTGTTCATAAAAACCTCCAATGAAGAGCATTCCATATTCTCCCTTGGAAGCCTATTCCAAAATTTAATTAACCTGATAGATAGAAAGTCATTCCTAATATGTAACCTAAATCTCCCTTGCTGAAGATTAAGCCCATTACTTCGTGTCCTACTTTCACTGGACATGGAGAACAACTGAAGAACATATCTGAAGACTGTTATCAGATCCCCCCCACTCAGTCTTCTTTTCTCAAAACTAAGCATGCCCAGTATTTTTAATCTTTTCTGACCGGTCAGGCTTTCTAAATTTCATCACTTTTGTTGCTCTCCTCTGGACTGTCTCCAGTTTGTCCACATCTTCCCTAAAGTGTGAAGCAAGGGCTGCAGAGCCTGCCCAGAAGTGGGGGAGGGCAGAGCCTCCCACCCCGCCCCTCCTCTTTCGCCCGAGGCCCCACCCCCAGCCAAGCTGGAAGCCAGAGCAGGCCAGGAGCTGCGGACCAAGGGCAGGAGGGTCCACGGATCCCCACAGCTTCCTGCGCGCCATGCATGACTCTTACCCGGACCCAGCTCTGTCTGGGGGACCGCAGCCCAGCCATGGTAAGAGTTGCAAGGGCAGCTGTGGGGAGCCACGCTGTGGACCCTCCATCTGCCCGGGGTAAGCGGGTCAAGAGCAGCCCCTGGCCCGTGTCCCTGCCCCGTGCCCCCTCCCCCGGGGCAGAAGGGTCTACGGTGCAGCTCCCCACAGCTACTCATGAGGCTCTTACCATGGCTGGGCTGCTGTGGGAATCTGTGGATCCTCCTGCCCTGAGGGGGGGGACGGGACAGTGCGGGGCGGGGACATGGGCTGGGCACTGCTCTCGACCCTCCCACCCCAGGCAGGTGGAGGGTCTGTAGCACGGTGTCCCACAGCTGTCCGGGCTTCACAGCCGGGCTCCAGCTGTCAGTCTGGCTGGGAGGGGGCGGGGCCCCTTGTGAAAAGTGGGAGGGCTATGGCCCTCTGGTCACCCCTATTCCGGTGCCCCGGGTGTGACGCCTAGAATTGGACACAATATTCCAGCTGAGGCCTCACCAGTGCTGAGTAGAGTGGGACAATTACATCCCATGTCATACATACGACACACCTGTTAAAACTTCCCAGAGTAATATTAACCTTTTTCACAACTGCATCACACTGTTGGCTTATATTCAATTTGTGATTCATTATGACCCCCCCCCCCCCCCAAGATATTTTTCAGCACTACTACTGCCTAGCCAGTTATTCCACCCCATTCTTGCTGCCTCCATGCCTTCCTGCCTTCAGAGCTCTTCAGGACAGAGATGCTGAGCCCTCACTGTGACCTTTATCCTTTAATGCTAGCAAAGGAACGCAGAGCCCAAAATTGCCAGTGAACTGAAAAATCCATTGTTCACACAGCTCTGCTCCTGGCCATTGCTGGACATTAATGAGCCTCTACCACTTTAAATGAAGAGCTTAAAATACATCTGGAGAAAGAGGAGAAGTCCTAAATGAGCATGTAGGGGAAAGTGCCTCTGTGCATCTGGTTAGGTTTGGGTATAGGACTGTGTATGGCTCTTTGACCTGTATAGCTGTAATGGGCTCAAGCCCCGTTCTTTGTTGATTTTCACCAGCCCTGCACTTAGAAGGATGAAGAAGTGAAAATGTGGCTCTCCACTCCACAAGCTACACAAGTTTTTGGCCAGTCCTTCCCTAAGGAATTTAGGGAGGTGAATAACTGCATTAGAAAATAAACAGTCACTTCCAGGACATAAAAAGGTAACTGCTCTCCTTAGGGAGAGCAGCTTTAGCTGTACCGGAGGAATAAATGCATCATAATCTTCCGTATCCTCGAGAAGGATGAGGATGTTCTCCAGCTGACTTAGACAAAGCAAGAAGAAACAGAGAGAAATAGGAAATGAGCCATTAGATTACCTCAGGGATGGAGACAGCAGAACAGAACAAAAACTGGGGAAACTGCTCTTTGAATGAAGACAAAAAGCAGAGAAAGGAAAAGAATCAGAATAATGTTGTGTCTTTCATCTACAAACTAATAAAAAAAACAACAACCCAGATCATTCCAAGACTGACTTCAAACAGCTCAGAGAATAGACAGGGCTTTTCAATGACAATAAATGCATCCCTATGATAAATGAAGTAGTGGAAAACATGAATGAATATAACGTAGTACTGGGAATTCCCTGATACCGAGAAAGCATTCAATTACTGAGTGCCCCTGAGGCCCTTCGTTGTTCTATTCTACACTTATGTATTATTCAAGCTCTTAACAGAGGCATGGGAGCTTTTTCCAAAAGAAGACATGCTCATGTCTCTCAAGCATCTGATGGTATTTAGATGGAAGTTATCTGGCTAAACACAGATGCCTAATTTAAGGTGTGATGTAAAACGGTGGAGGCAGGCACCACTAACAATATTTTTCACCCAAAGCATTTTTAGTCTGTTTCTCTTTGCAGATGGCTCCCTGGTGAATGAGGAAAGGGAGCAATCCTAATCTGTTTCTTTCAGCAGTAGGAGTGTTTGCAAGTAAAACAGACTTTCCTTCATTGTGAGAAGTGTTACTGCTGTGCTGATGATCCCACAAACACTTCCCTTTCCTCCTCAAAAGAGAGAGAGAAAAAAAACCCAGGAAAAGTTGCAAAGGGAGGGGAATGCACAAGAAGGAAACTCAAAGTTGAAACAGTTGAAGACGAAGAAGCACACAGCCTGGAAACCTTGTGCATTACTTTGTGCATAAAGAAGTATGATTTACACTTGAGAACAACCCAGACTAGGAAGAGTCTTTCATAGCCGGGGACACTAGATATCTCAGTGGGGATCAACTTTGTGTGTCTGTGCCAATAATTGACATCCACTGCAGGGACCAATGAGTGGGTGATCTCAGTCCAGTTCCAAGTGAACAGATGTCCACCAGAAATGTCAAAGACTGGAGATGGAAAGTGAATTAAGCTATCTGCCTCTGGAGGTGGCTCGAGATGAGGCACTTTGGTGACTAAACTCCACTATTCACAAGCCCAGAATTCATACAAAAGACACTTGTATGGCAAGATGAAGCTTGTTCTATATATTTGAAAACTGTCAGTTCTCATTCTTAAATGAGTAGAATGAATTCACCTGAAGAGCCACATTTTATATGCATTCAAGGAGAAGGAGTATCCTTTAATGTGCCTGCCATCTACAGTAACAGAAGATCTAATGAGCATTACTAAGAAAGAAAGAGAAAAGGATAGCTATCTGGGACACCATTTGTACAAATTGGGTATATCTGACCCATTGGAAGAATAATTTAATCCTTTGATAAATACTGAGGCATTTTGGAGGGGGTGTGAGAAGAGATTTAGGGGGATAAGATGAAGAGTAAGGAGGGCACCAAGCCAATTTGTCTTAAATCTCTTCCATTTTCAGGATTTCTTTTTAAATCCCATTTTTAATTCCTTCCAGCTTCCTGTCCACTTGTCCAATAACTTAGCTTTTAGTGGGTTGATTATCTTCTTCTTGGTGTTTAAAAATATACACTGTAGTATAGTTTTGTTTGCTTTAGTAATACTCTTCATCCTCCATAGACCACTGAAGAGCAACTGTGGGCCTGGATCATGTCCTAATGAATGGAAGTTTTGCCATTGACTTCAATGGGAGCAGGATCAGTGCCTCTGCAGGCTACAAACTAATCTGCAGTAAGTTTGTGACTTCAGTTATCAGAAAGTCATGTGCAGCAAACACTTCGCTTTTGTACCTCTTCTGTCAGATTATACACCAATTTGTAGAGAAGGGGGCTGCAGTCAACTCTTAAAGTGTAGTTGCCTGAAAACCAAACACAGACAGGGAAATCTTTTTTAAGTGGCTTTGACTCACTGCTAATTGACCAAACCCTGCTGTTCTCACCTGGGAAAAGCTTTCATTGACTCCAAGAGGAGTTTTAGCTAAGTAAGGACTGCAGGTCTTGGTGCAAAGCACTTACAAATACAGATTGTCTAGTTAGATTTACAATACATAAAGCACTTCTCCTAAACTCATCTTTGCCACAGATTCCGAATACAATCATAAAAATTACACCTGCCGTTGATCCTCAAGCTCAACCCCCCCTCCCACTCCCCCCCTCCAAATTATACACACCCTCACCACACATACCAACCCCATTTGGTTCTTTCCTGTGTGAATAGATGCACCCTACAATGTGCCCTAAAAATCAGCAAATCTGTGCTATTTTGGATTGGGAGGAGGGAAAACAAGTTCCAGGGTGGAAGTCCCCTCACAGAAGAAATCCTGCCAGCAGCTACTTTTCTCCTATAATGAGGGATTTAGCTTCTGTCTTATAATGAATGCCTGTGCTGGCCGCAACTACAGCAATGAGACACTAGGAGAGAGACCAGCTCTCAAGTAAGCGATCCCCATGCCATTTAGAGCTTTATATGTAAAAATTAAGACCCTAAACTTCACCCAGAAAACAGCAGTGCTCTGCAATCTCCATTGGCTGCCTGTCGTTTGCTCTCCACAAAATGCACTAGTTAACAAGCAGGTGTCTGCTCCTGCATTCTGCACCACTGTTAGTTTGCAAGTTGATTTAAGTCAAGGTAGAACACACTACAGCGAGCCAGTGTTCAGGTGACAAAGGCATAGATTATTGCAGCAAGGTCCACAGTCAAAAGAAACTGACACTATCTTTTAACCAGACAAAAGTGCAAAACGGTCTTCCTAGAAAATGTTAGATGATCATCTAACATCAGCTGATAGAGAATCCAATAATACCCACAGACTGTAAACTCTAGCAACAAATGGTGGGTACATAGGGATATAGAAGAACTCTGCCATATCTGATAGTTTATGTTTTGTTAGAACGGTTAGCAGATTTTGATAATATTTTAGAGCAGTGTATTGTTTCTGGCTGAACAGACAAATGAAATTCACATTAAAACTAGTCAGACAACTACAGTAATGTAATAATGGAAAAGAACACTGGGTTACATTAGCTAGCATAGCCAAGGAGTTTGTATATTTAGCAATTGGAAATTAGAGTCAAGGCAACGTTCTCAAAGGACACCAACCATTTTCTGTGCGAAAGGACAATGAATAAGATAAATGTGCTGTACTGTACTTGGCACAGTGCAGAATGTACTGTGATGTACTAACTGATTCCTCCAAGGAATATAGATGCTATCACACCATTAGGGATTCAAATGCCTGGAGTCAGGGGAAAGAGGACTAATGTACTTAAAACAGTGCACTGAAGCGTGGCGCCAGTTTTGTTTATTATAGGTTTCACAATGCTTTACTTTCATATTTTGCTTTGATACATAAACAAAGGCATCACTGCATAATCAAGATTTGGAAGCAAATTGGCACTGCAACAGCATGCTGGCTTCAAATCGTCTCCAATAGATGTGTTACAATACACAC